TACTGCTCGAGATTGGCTTCAAGCAGCTGCCGCACGACCTAGGGATGTACCGCCTCCACTTCAACAGTGACTACATTCTTCTTATAGTCAACATCGACGACCTGCGGTACACCGGAACTAACAACGCGCTCCTTGATCAGATCGATAAAAACCTAGCGCGCCGCGTTGACATCACTATCAACCACAACATGACGCAGTTCCTGGGACTCAACATCACTTACGTGCAGGAAGCAAGTCATCTATGAGCCTCCAAGTATGCAGAACAACTGGGGGAATGATTCAAAATTCCACCCGCACCACTCTCAACCCCTTACCGTTCGCCCAGCACAAACTACAAAGTGGACCACAAACCTCTGCCACCCGTAGCACTCCAACATCACCAACAGCAACTGGGTTGCCTGCTGTTCGCCTCTGTCACCTGCCGACCCGGCCTTTCGTACATCGCCAGCTAGGTGGCCCAATACGCATGCAAGCTAGTGACAGAAAACCAGCTGGAGCTGGAGCGAGCTCTGTAGTACTTCATCTCCACACCTGACATCGAGCTCTCGTACTCCACGCTGACAACACCATCCTTCAACCTCACTGGCTACATGGACGCAAATCACGCCGCTGGCCCTGCTTATCAACGATCACGAGCCGACTTCGTCTTCCGCCCTTTTTTTAATCTCCTAGAAATTCCTGAAGGAGTTGGTTGCCCTCTCGTCAACCAAAGTAGAGTACATTGCCGCGACCGCTGCAGTTCGCGAAGGACTCTACCCACAAAAGCTCATACAGGAGGCGAAAATCCCAACATTGCCAACATTTCGCCTCCACTGCGACAATTAGAGCGTGTCAAATTATATATGTGATATATGTGTGTAGGCTATAGTGGGGTAGCCAATATAGGGTATAGCCCCTTTAGGGTTTCATATTTGTACCCGACCTTGTTTCTAGTCCACTCATTCCTCATTCCAACTTTCACATGGTTTCAGAGTAGGATCCCTAGTGGGAACGTTTTTTTTTTCTGCCCTGCCCAAAGCGCACTGCCGTGCCTGCCTGCCCCGTCACGCGCCTTGCGCCTGACTACCCGCTCCCTCGAGCGCCTGCCCTACCCGCGCCCTCGAGCGCCTGCCCTACCCGCGCCCTGCCTCATCTGCGGCCCGCCCTTGGAGTGGCCGCCCCTACCCTACCCTGGCGCCGTGGCGCCTGCAGCCGCCGTCGCGGCCCCGCCGTAGCCGCCGTCGCACCTGCAGCCACCGTCGCGGCCCTGCCCCGCCATTGCTGCCTTCGCGGCCCTGCCCAGCTGCAGCCGCCCGTCGAGCATCGGACCTGCCCTACCCGCGCCGGTTGAGCGCCTGCCCACCGCCGCCGGTGGCATTTGCCCTACCCGCCTCTCGTGAGCACCTGCCCTACCCGCACTGCCCGCGCGCCTGCCTTACCAGCGCGCTGCCGCGCGTGCCGCGCCTGCCTGTCAACCGAGTCGTGCCGCCCTGCCCTACTGAGCCGCACTGCTCTGCCCTGCTGCTACTGCTGTTCCAGCTATCACTGCTACTACTGCTGCGCTGCCACTCTTGCTGCTACTAGCGGTGGCCAGATGCAGCTCTAGCAACGTCCGCGTGAGTCCCTCACGCCCCAGCAGCTTCGTGAGTGGTACGCTAGTTGGGGTTGTAGGGGTGGCCGTAGTGGGATTCGCCCTGGAGCGGGTCGTTCGGGAGCTTCTGGCAGTGGCTAGCTACAGCTGCAGCGGCGTCCGTGCGAGACTCTTCCGCCCCAGCAGCTTCGTGAGTGGTACGCTCAGAGTCAAGGGTCTCGGAGTACCGTTCGCTACCCTTACGTCATTCGCACAGGTGATTGGACTGGTCAGACCTGCGGTCCGGTGGGTCACACACAGTCCTGCTGCTTTGCCTGTCTGAGCGACGCCTGGCGTACCGTGTTCGACGACGAGGCTGAGGTCCTAACTTGGCTAGAGCTGCTTAGGCAGAGGGTAGATATCTTTGCTCTTGACTATGATGCTATCCTCACTGCCATGTATGCACTGTCTACTAGTGCTGAGGGTGCCTGTTACCTGTGTGAACCGCCGGACCCAGGTATAGAGTTTGCTAATCTCGGTGCTGGTGAGGCTGCTGCTCTAGGTGCTAGTGCGTCTGCTACCCTTGGTGCTCGTGAGGCTACTGCTCTAGGTGCCAGTGCGTCTGCTGCTCCAGGTGCTGGTGAGTTTGCTCTCTCAGGTACTGCGCTGACTGAGGCCTTGCACACCTTCACGCTTGACTCAGGTGCTTCCCGCTCTTTCTTTCGTGACTCTACCACGCTCACACCTCTACGTCGGCCAGTGGCAGTCTCCCTGGCGGACCCCTCTGGGGGCCTAGTCCTTGCGCACTCCTCCACGGTTCTACCGTGTCCAGTGGTCCCGTCTGGCTCGCTGTTGGGTCTTCACCTCCCCTCGTTCTCTACTAACTTCTTGCTGGTTGTTGACGACTACTCGCGTTACACCACGGTCTTCCCCTTGCGCACCAAGGGTGAGGTCCCTGATGTTTTGATCCCTTGGATCCGCGCTGCCCGTCTCCAGCTCCACGAGCGGTTCTGGACGGAATTTCCCGTCCTGCGTCTGCACTCTGACAGAGGAGGGGAGCTTGCCTCCGACCTTCTGGCAAGCTTTATTCGTGGGGAGGGCATTCGCCAGATGTTCACGCTTCCGGCCCCTCCGCAGCAAAATGGGGTTGCTGAGCGCTGCATTGGCTTGGTCATGGAGGTCGCTCGTACCTCCATGGTACATGCGGCTGCCCCCCATTTTCCATGGTCGTTCAGTGTGTGTGGTGACGTCGTGATCCACCCTAGGTTTGCTTTGCTTTTTGTGTCTGGTTGTGTGACCTTTTGCTCTCCCCCACTTTGCGTATGGGGGTGTGTCAAATTATATATGTCATATATGTGTGTAGGCTGTAGTGGGGTAGCCAATATGGGGTATAGCCCTTTTAGGGGTTCATATTTGTACCCGACCTTGTTTCGAGTCCACTCATTCCTCATTCTAACTTTCACAGAGCGCAATCACGATTGCGTACACGCATGGCCTTGTGAACCGAATGAAGCACATCGCGCTGTCAAACGTTATATCTACTATACATGTTTAGGCTGTAGTGGGGTAGCCAATATGGGGTACAGCCCACTTTAGGGTTTCATATTTGTACCCAACTCTTCCATAGTTCAATCATTCAGACTTCTAAATTCTAACATGGTTTCAGAGCACTAGGTCCGTAGGACCGTTTTTTTTTCGGGCCCACCTACCGTTGCGGTTACCACGCTACCCCACGTATTGTCCTGAGCCTGCCCGCCTGCCTACCTTGCCTTGTGCCGTGCTGCGCTGCGCGCGCCGTCCTGCAGCCCTCGCGCTGCCTACTGCTGCCCTAGGCCAGCACGCCGCCCCTGCAGGCCCGTACGGCCCGCGCGCCGCCCCTGAAGCCTCGTAAGGCCCGTGCGCCGCCAATGCAGGCCCGTAAGGCCCGTTAGCCGCCCCTGCAGGCCCGTCAGGCCCGCGAGCCGCCTCTGCAGGCCCGTCAGGCCAGAGCGCCGCCCCTAGAGGCCCGTCAGGCCAGAGCGCCGCCCCTGCAGGCCCGTCTGGCCCGCCAGCCGTCCCTGCAGGCCCGTAAGGCCCGCTAGCCGCCTCTGCAGGCCCGTCAGGCCTGCGAGCCGCCCCTGCAGGCCTGTCAGGCCCGCGAGCCGCCTCTCCAGACCCGTCAGGCCAGGTCGCCGCCCCGCGCGTCGCGCTGGCTGCCTGCGCGTCGCGCTGCAGCCCCGCGCGTCGCGTCCGCTGCCCACGAGTCGCGCTGCAGCCCTACGCGTCGCACCCGCTGCCCGCGCGTCGTGCTGCAGCCCCGCGCGCCGCGTTCGCTGCCCGCGCGTCGCGCTTTAGCCCCGTGCGCCGCGCCCGCAGCTCGCGCTGCAGCCTCGCGCGCCGCGGCTGCCCCTGTTCCTCGCGGCTGCCCCTGGACGCCGCCCTGCAGCAGCTGCCACCGTCGCCCCTGCAGCAGCTGCCACCGTCGCTCCTGCAGCAGCTGCCACGGAGCGCCCTACCACAGTCGCGGCCCTACCCAACAGCAGCTGCCGCGGAGCCTTATGCTGCCGTCGCGGCCCTGCCCTGCAGCAGCTGCCGCGGAGCCTCGTGCCGCCGTTGCGGCCCCGCCCTGCAGCTGTCACGGCCCCGCCCTGCAGCAGCTGTCGCGGACCTGCACTACCGCCGACGCGGCCCTCCTCTGCCGCAGCTGTAGCGGCCCCGCCGTTGCTGCCGTCGTGCGCCTGCCCTTCCTGCCACTGGTGAGCACCTACCTTGTTCGTGCGCTGCCGCCTGCCTACCTGCCTGCCTGCCTGCCTGTCGCGCCTGCCCTGCACGCGCTGCTGCTGCTACTACTGCTATTGCTACTGCTACTGCTACTCCTGCTGCTGACGGTGGCCAGATGAAGCTCCAGCGACGTCCGCGTGAGTCCCTCACGCCCCAGCAGCTTAGTGAGTGGTACGCTAGTTGGGGTTGTAGGGGTGGCCGCGCTGCTACTGCTGCTACTACTGCTACTACCGCTACTGCTACTACTAGCGGTGGCCAGATGCAGATCCAGCGACGTCCGCGCGAGTCTAGCACGCCCCAGCAGCTTAGTTAGTGGTACGCTAGTTGGGGTTGTCGCGGTAGCCATCGTAGCTGTCGCCCTGGAGCTGGTCAGTTGGGAGAGTCTGACAATGGCCAGCTGCAGCTGCAGCGGCGTCCACGCGAGACACTTACGTCCCAGCAGCTTCACGAGTGGTACGCTCAGAGTAGAGGGTTTCTGAGTATTGTTCGCTGCAAGTACGTCATTCGCACTGGTGCTCGGACTGGTCAGGCTTGCGGGACACTCAGTCACACAGAGTCCCGCTGCTTCGCCCGTCTGAGCGACGCCTGGCGTACCGAGTTTGGCGAAGAGGCTGAGCTCCCCGACTGGGTGGAGCTGCTTGGGCAGAGGGTAGATATCTTTGCTCTTGACTATGATGCTATTCTCACTGCCATGTATGCATTGCCTACTAGTGCTAACTGTGCCTGTTACCTATGCGTACCGCCTGACCCAGGCATAGAGCCTGCTGCTCTACGTGCTAGTGAGGCTGCTGCTCTAGGGGCTAGTGTGTCTCCTGCTCTAGGTACGGGTGAGACTGCTGCTCCAGGTGCTGGTGAGTCTGCCCTCTCTGGTACTGCGCCTGCTCAAGCCTTGTACACCTTCACACTTGACTCTGGTGCTTCTCGCTCCTTCTTTCGCGACAGCACCACCCTCACACCGCTCAGTCGGCCGGTTTCAGTCTGTTTGGCAGACCCCTCTAGGGGTCCAGTCCGTGCGACCTCTTCTACTGTCCTCCCTTGTCCTGCTGTCCAGTCCGGCACACTGTCGGGTCTTCACCTCCCCTCGTTCTCTACGAACTTGGTGGCGGCATCTGCGCTCCAGGCCGCGGGTGTTCACCAGTTCACCCCTGCCTACGAACGTGTGACACACTGCACGTGTGCTCAGACGGGTCGTCACCTGGCTACCTTCACTCGGCAGCCGGGGTCGGACTTGTACACACTGACCACTGAGTCACCTCAGGTAGTTGCGTCTGCGTCTGCGTCAGGTCAGTTGTCGCCCCCCTGCTCGTGTTGCGCCTTGTCGCACCAGACCCTCCTTTGGCACCACCGCCTTGGTCACCCCTCGGTGTAGCGCCTTCGCAGCATGCACCGCCGTGTCCTTGTCTCTGGTCCTCCCAGGGTTCTCCCTCCCCTCCCATCCTCGCCTGCTCCTCCCTGTCTTCCCTGTGTCGAGGGGCGGCAGTGCACCGCTCCTCACTCCTCCTCGTTCCCTCCCACAGAGGCTCCCCTGCAGACTCTCCACCTGGACGTGTGGGGCCCAGCCCACGTCCGTGAACAGGGCCACGAGCGGTACTTCCTGCGGGTCGTCGACGAGTACACGTGTTACACCACGGTCTTCCCCTTGCGCACCAAGGGTGAGGTCCCTGATGTTTTGATCCCCTGGATCCGCGCTGCTCATCTCCAGCTCCGCGAGCGGTTCGGGACGGAGTTTTCCGTCCTGTGTCTGCACTCTAATAGAGGTGGTGAGTTTTTCCTCCGACCTCTTGGCAGCCTTCTTTGAGGAGCATGACATCACCCAGCTGTTGACGCTTCCGGCCTCTCCGCAGCAGAATGGGGTTGCTGAGCGCCGCATTGGCTTGGTCATGGAGGTCGCTCGTACCTCCATGATCCATGCGGCTGCCCCCCATTTTCTGTGGCCGTTTGTGGTCCGGTACGCCGCGCATCAGCTCAGCCTTTGGCCCCATGTCTCCTTGCCGGAGACCTCGCCCAAACTGCTGTGGACGGGGAAGGTTGGCGATGCCTTTCCGTGATACCACCGCGGACAAGCTCTCCGCCCACGCTGTTCCCTGTGTCTTCCTTGGCTTTGTCCCTGACGCGCTTGGTTGGCAGTTTTACCACCCCACCTCGCGCCATGTCTTCCCTTCTCAGGACGTCACGTTCGACGAGTCGGTTCCCTTTTACCGTCTCTTCCCCTACCGCACTACCCCTCTCCCCTCCCCGCCGCTCTTCCTCGCTCCAGGTGCTCCCCAGGTAGACCCCCTCCCCACTCCCGGTCCTGCTCCTTCAGGTGTGTCTCAGGTAGACCCTCCTCCCTTGACTGCGCCGGTTGAGGTCACGGGTGACTCAGGTCCTGCTGAGGGTGGTCCTGCTCGGGGTGCTACTTCTGGGGGTGCTGAGCCTGGGGGTGCGGAGCCTGGGAGTGCTGAGCCTGGGGGTGCGGAGTCTGGAGCTGCTGAGGGTGCTGGAGCTGGGGGTTTTGGAGCTGCTGCGGGTGCTAGCGCTGGAGGTTCTGGAGCTACTGCGAGTGCTGGCGCTGGAGGTTCTGGAGCTGCTGCAGGTGCTGGCGCTGGAGGTTCTGGAGTTGCTGCAGGTGGTGGCGCAGGAGGTTCTGGAGCTACTGCGGGTGCTGGCGCTGGAGGTTCTGGAGCTGCTGCGGGTGCTGGCGCTGGAGGTTCTGGAGCTGCTGCGGAGGCTGACGCTGGAGGTTCTGGAGCTGCTGCGGGTGCGGGCGCTGAGGGTTCTAAGTCTGCTGTTGCGCTGTCTCCCTGGAGTAGCTGCCTTCGTCCGCGTGTGCCTCTCACCTCACAGCAGCTGCATGACTGGTACGGTCCCCGTCAGGGTCGCGCTTCTGGAGCTCGGGGCTCTGCCACTGGAGGTGTTTCTGCTATCGTCACTGGAGCTGGGAGTGGTGCTGGTCCCGAAGGTGCTCGTATTGGAGGTACTGGAGCTGCTGGGGCTGGATGTGCTGCTGAGCCTGAGGGTGCTGCTGCTGGAGACCCAAGGTCTGGGGGTGCTGCTGCTGGAGACACTGAGGCTGAAGACCCTGGGACTGGAGGCGCTGGTTCTGGGGGTGCTGCTGCTGGTGGAGCTGGTCCTTGAGGAGCTGGCGCTGAGGGTTCTGGAGCTACTGGAGGTGGTGGAGGTGCTAGGGGTGCTGGAGCTGCTGGTGTTGGTGGCACTGCACAGCCGCGCCTGTTCTTCGCTCCACCGTCTCCGTCGTCTCAGCCACCGCCTCACTCTGTGCTTCGCCAGGTTCTTAGTCTCCCTTTGTCTACTGGTCTTCCGTTACAGCCTGGCTCACCGGTGCCTGCTCCTTCTCCTTACACTGAGCAGACAGGGGGTTTTACTGAGCGTCGTGAGCCCGCGTCGCGTCTTGTCTCGCCTGTCCGTTCTAGTAGTTCCGGTCGTCGTGTTCCTTGTTCCCGTCAGCCGACAGTCCCCGTCACCCACCTCGTAGTCCATCGTCTTTCCTCTCCTCCGCAGCGTGTCCCCCTGCTGTCCCCTCCTGCGTCTTCTCTGCCTACCGTTCCTGAGCCTGAGTCTGACCGCACCCGTGCTGCTCACCCTTTTGTCACACGTCTGCTAGCCACAGTTGTCACTGACCCGTCATTTGAGTCTGCTGCTGCGTCTGCCTTTGTTGCTGAGCTTGTTGACTTTGCTGCTGCCTGTCGTCTAGACTACGCCGCTAGTCTGAGTCTGAGTCTGTCTATCCTCCGTCCGTCGGTGGTGAGTGTGCTCTTGGCACGGACGTCCTTGAGGACAGGCAGGAGGACCTTGAGTGTCTTGCAGCCGCTGCGCCTCACCTCGTGTCCATGCTTGTTGCCCCTGAGGGAGACCAGGATGCTCCAAACATCCCGACCCCGCGCTCTTACGCTGAGGCGATCGCGGGTGAGTACTCCTCTCAGTGGCAGACAGCCACGGATGCAGAGATGGCATCCTGGAAGTCCACAAGTACTTACGTTGACGAGGTTCCCCCTTCTGGGGCGAACATCATCAGTGGCATGTGGATTTTCAGGGTGAAGCGGCCGCCAGGTTCTCCGCCTGTCTTCAAGGCTCGTTACGTTGCTCGAGGTTTCAGTCAGCGAGAGGGAGTTCACTTCTTTCAGACCTTCTTCCCCCCCCCCCCCCCCCCCCCCCCCCCGAAGATGACCACTCTTTGGGTGCTGCTGCACGTTGCCGCTCAGCGTGACTACGAGCTTCACTCTCTTGACTTCAGCACAGCTTTCTTACAGGGCAGCCTACACGAGGAGATCTGGCTGCGCCGCCCTCTTGGCTTCACTGGGTCGTTCCCTCGTGGTACCCAGTGGAGCCTCCAGCGGCCAGTCTACGGTCTCCGCCAGGCACCACGTGAGTGGCACGACACACTGAGGACTACACTTGCGGCTCTTGGGTTTGCTCCTTCGACTGCTGACTCGTCGCTGTTTCTGCGCACCGACACATCGCTTCCGCCGTTCTACATCCTTGTGTACGTCGACGACTTAGTCTTTGCCTATGCTGACACCGAGGCTCTCGCCCTGGTGAAGTCGGAGCTGCAGAAGAGACACACGTGCACAGACCTGGGTGAACTGCGCAGCTACCTTGGCTTGCAGATCACCCGGGACAGAGCACGCCGCACCATCACACTGACATAGTCACACATGGTGCAGCAGGTCCTTCAGCGCTTCGGCTTCACCTGGTCCTCGCCACAGCACACTCCTCTAGCTACAGGCCACTCGCTCTCAGCTCCACCTTCGGACGAGTCCATAGAGCCGAGTGGCCCGTACCCAGAGCTAGTGGGCTGCCTCATGTACCTCATGACCTGCACTCGACCTGACCTTGCGTACCCTCTTGGCCTTCTGGCTCGCTACGTGGCTCTTCGTAGGCACAGACTAGAGCACATGGCTGCTGCTAAGAGGGTACTGCGCTACTTGTGCAGTACATCGGGCATGGGGCTCGTGCTTGGAGGGCGGAGCCCAGTTGTCCTCACTGGGCACTTGTACGCTTCTTGGGTTGACGACCTGGCTACGCAGTGGTTGTCAATGGGTTACAACTTCAGCCTTGGCTCTGGTTCAGTTTCTTGGCATTCTACACGCTCGTCTTCTGTTCTGAGGCTGAGATCTACGCCACAGCCATGGCTGAACAGGAGTTACGCTGGCTCACCTACCTGCTGACCGACTTGGGAGAGCGGCCTCGTTCTCCTCCAGTGCTGTACGTTGACAACAAGGCCGCCATTGCCTTGTGTGAGGAGCACAGATTGAAGCACATCGCTCTGCGTTACTTCCTTGCTCGAGAGTTGCAGCTGCGTGGTCAGCTTCGTCTTGCTCACGTGGCATCTTGGGCCAACACTGCTGATATATTCACCAAGGCACTTCCGTCTGGTGATCATCAGCGTTTCTGCACTTTGTTAGGCCTTGTGCCCACATTTCCTCACTTGCTGTAGACTTTGCTTGATCTATGTATACCTGCATGCATGCTCTGCTAGGTAGAGATCACTGTGCTGTTATTGTTGCATATATACCTCTGCATGTGAACTGGCCTTGTGGCCCTCTGCTTGTGCTCAGTATGTGTGGTGACGTTGTGATCCACCCTGAGCTTGCTTTGCTTCTCTTGACTGGTCTTGTGACCCCTTGTTCTACCCCACTTTGCCTATGGGGGTGTGTCAAACGTTATATCTACTATACATGTTTAGGCTGTAGTGGGGTAGCCAATATGGGGTACAGCCCACTTTAGGGTTTCATATTTGTACCCAACTCTTCCATAGTTCAATCATTCCTGCTGCTAAATTCTAACACGCGCTTCGATACTTCTTCGTCAAAGACGAAATGGACCAGGGCAAAGGTTGACCTGACGTACTGCCCACCACTGAGATGGCAGCAGACTTTCTCACCAAGCGGTTGCCACGTCAGCAGTACCAGCACTGCTCCAACCTCACTGGAGCGGTTAAGCCAGTCAGCTCCCGATACCCCCAGGAATGAAGGGGGGTGTTGAGATATGAAGTTAAATGAGAAGGCATTCCTATACACTGCAGGAACCATCTCTACTGAGTATGAAGTCGAAGAGCAAGAAGAGTCGAAGCAACATCAGCAAACATTTGAAGTGCAATTGGTGGGAACAAGTTTAAAACGAATTCCTGCGCCGCACTTCTTTGAATACCGCTGCAATATGATAATGCACCCCTTAGAGTACATGGCTACCTAGGTCGTTTCGCATTCCTTTGTATCATCTATATGAACCTATATGTGCACCCATTAGAATAATCTCAGCCATTTTACATTCACCCTGACCTGAGGTTAACACTTCCGCTGCAATATCACCTTTAATCAACCCTAAGCCGATCCTTAACTACCGTATGTCCCGTTTAAGTTTCTAACCTTCCACTTGTTCTGGCTAATGAAGATTCTTACTGCTCCCCATGAGTACCGTGCTTCGACGTTCTCGAACATGTTGGAAACAATCGGTCCTAAGCGCCTCTATCGTGTCGAAACACTAAGACACAAAAGAAACGAAGTATAACGAATCACCGGCCAGTCAACCCTCGGAGGTTGAAAGTAACTGTTGGAGGTTACGCGAAAGTCAAAGGTCAGCGACCTTTGACCTGACAAAGTACAGCGCGACAGCAAGGACAAACAACTGACTCGGTATTGAGCAGTTGCCCGAGTCGTCACTGTATCGAACCGCAACAGCAATAGTAAAACGGTTATTAACTGTATCTGTTCGTATTCCTTGTACTCTTATAAAAGCTTGTATCTCTTTGTTTTAATCAAATTACTTTGCCCTCACATACTAGCGCAAGGTGGTTCACAACTCTTTAATTAACGCTTCCGCTACTACACCAACTCTACCTAGAGTTCACCCTTGCAAAGATCCTAAGGGTTTTTCAGCCCAACATGGTATGAGAGCGATCAGGGGGAATTCAACTTCTATACCGACAACATCAACAAGCATGGCTACACAAAAGGAAAGGAGCAACTCCAACGGCTCCCAGGGCACTACTCCTACTCCACCTCCTGCCTCTGGCCTACAGACAGAGGAGGGCTCAGCAACAAGACCCAGAGCAACATCTACCGAGACTCCCGCGAATCAACCTGCAGACTTCGACTAGAGCATGATGGAGAAGTTTTTCTCCTTCATGTCCTTCTACGAGCAACACCAGCAATCTGCACCTGCGCAGTCACACAACAGCAACAACAACAGAGCAACACCCATGAGTCTCGACGGCTCATCATATGCACGAGGAAATCAACAACAGCAGCCTACCTTTGCTCCGTACGAGCGCGTGTCCATCAGCTTTATGCCACACCCACAGTCTTCACCTGGACAAGAAAAATCACTGGACGCATTACAAGATCAGTCGCAGTTCGCACACGTTCTGAATATGCAGACGTCAAGACCCTTCGATGAAAAGGACTTCTTCACCTGGTCGTTCGAGTTCGAGCTGATGATGGAAGTCGCGCAGATACTCGGGTTCTTCGACGGGTCTCTGCCATACCCAACAAACGGCACACAGTACGAGAAGCAGGAGTACACCTATCAGTCAATGATGGCATACACGATCCTACTGAGGAATATCACCCCGACTCAACAGCAGAACATAAGGTCTTACCGAGGTTACGGCAACTCCGCGGAGCTCGCGTACAACCACCTGAAGAGCCTGTATCAAGCAACAGACAGCGTAAGCCAAAGTCGGTTAATGGCGCAACTGACAACGGTTGAAATGAATCCAGGGGAGAAAGGAATGGCGTATATCAGTCGATGTCGCGAGTTGCACGACAAGCTTTTTCGATGCGGAGGGTCGATCTCTGAAGACGCCTTCGTGACAGTCATCATCGGCGGCCTCGGTCCTCAATGGCGCGCCACAAAGGCCATTCTCCGAGCTCACGGAAGAATCTCCGAAGCAGCGCTCTGCGGCGAAATCCACGCCGAGCAGCAAGACATGGACCTGCAAAAAGAACGACACAAAAAGAAGACATTAGCACCGGAATTCGCGTTCCACACTCAGCGACGCTACAACAACAACAACAACAACCGGCAGCAACAACCGAAGCCAGTACCTCCGTTCTGCCACATCTGCAAAATTTCAGGACACCCGCGTACGCACTGCCCAAATCGTCAACAGTCAA